TGAAATTCAGAGCATTCTATGTGCGATTGGGCACCTTATTTGTGGCATTTTTCTGAGGTCATCCAAACTCTGACTCCTAGCATTGCCTTCTTTGAGAATGTCAGAGCCGCTTGCGAGAGAAGCAAGGATGCTACTGGCAAGGCTTTGGATAAACCCATAGAGGTGGGGGCAGCTGCTGTGTGGCAGTGGCGATTGTGGTTGATAATTTAATGTGTGAGCGATTTTGGACACTGGAGAGGAGTGGTGACTTTTCCTATTATCAAACTGATGTCTGTATGTTCCACAAAAACCAAACAGTGAATAAATGCATTACATCATGCTCATATGTACATATATAATACATATGTATATATATAATATATCTAATACCTAATTGAACAATACCTAAACATATATATATTATACACATTTGTCTCAATGTATGTATATATATATATATGTATGGATGTATATTTAATATGTATATAGTTGGCTGCCCTGATAATATGTGTATATATATATATAGTTGGCTGCCCTGAGAATGCAGGTCGTGGCACGTCATATGCAGGATCTGGGATACCACTTCGTGTCTAGGTTGCAAGAAAAAGAATCAGCCCCTCGCTTTCTAGGCCAGACATTCTAAGTGCCAATTTGTGTGCAGTCACCCTGGGTTTATGAGATCCACCACACAAAGCACTGTCCAAGAATTAAACAAGAAAAACTTTCGGAATCCCTTGGGATTGTTTTCTCTGTCTTTAATTGATGTGGGAATTCTCCATTTTTTTGTTGTGCTCTTTCTCTTCTGGAACTGATTTCTTGGCCCTAGGTCTGGCAAGTGTTGGACTCACAGAATTTCACGTTGCCACAACGGAGAAACAGAGTATTTGGCTGTGCATCTTTGATGAGTGGCGCCCGCTTTGAGGAGGTCTCTACCGCTTTTGAGGAATGCTTGAGAGAGATGCATTCTAACTGGATATTTCCATCAGAGGTTCTATGGGAAAAAGATCTGCCAAAGGTCAGCCCAAAGAATGACCGGGAGAAAAAGTTGGTTGACATGGCAAAGGCTGCAAACATAGGCATCACAAATGTGTTCATAGACTGCGCTTCATCTCTGCGACGTCCCACGCATGCGGCATATGCGGTGCCTTGCATCACCCCAACACATGCAATCTACAGCACAGAACTTGGTCGCTACCTCTCTACCACGGACCTGCTCAATGCCCAGGGTTTCTGGAAGTCATGTTTCAGCCCCAGCACGTACCAGCATCTCCTGAGCAACCCAGAGCTAGCGCAGGATATTGTCGGGAATGCCTTCTCGAGCACCGTTTTCCAGGCCGTCTTCATTGCTTCATTGGCTTCAGCGCCAGATGCATGGAGCACTTTGCCAGGAACCGGGAGTGGAGACACTGCTATGGAACCTGCATTGTGTCAAGCATTTGGAGTCAGGAGAAGGGTGAGATCCAAGCGGCCAGCACCTGAGTATGACTCTGCAAAGGGCAGCTTGGTGAAGCCACGGAAAAAGTCCAGCAGACAGAAGCAGTCAGGTCCAAAGAAGAAGTCCAAGAGACAGATATACAAGCGCAAGAAGAAGAATGTTGACAGCAGAAAGTATTCCAAGGGCAAACGTGACGAGGCCACAATCTGGGACAAGGAACAAGTGTAACGTCCTTGGTTGAATGAAGCACCGGCAGAAGCACAAATAGAACACACGCACCGCATTCTATAAGAATGCACAGTTGTAAATACCGTTCAATATAGTTCATATACTCTCCATGTGTAACATCCTTTGATGAATGAAGCACGGAAAATCTTTATATAAAGCACCAACAGCACACCTGCGCAGCATTCTAACTGCTTGTTTGCTGAAAGTAATCCATGTTCCTTTTTCTATATTCTCTACTCAGGATGGTGGCTTACGACAAGGCCAAGTCAGACGGAATCACGCTACCGTGCAAGCATGTGGCCCAGTTGAACCTTCCCGGGTTTTACAGGTGTTGCATGTACAAATGGAAGCATGCACGTCAAGCCCAACAATGGACTTTGGTGTGCGCCTGTGCACCCAAACTTGCGCGGCAGTACAAAGAATTGCCTGATTCCCTGAGAAACCTTGTCGGGCTGAAGCTGAAATTCAGGGGAAGGTCTTCAGATGATGGCGAGTCTACGGCTACATTGCCATCTGCATTGACAGAGGCAGTCTCACATGTCGTCGCGCCTCAACCGCACTTTTGGTACATAATGGAGGGACATCCAGAAAACTCCTGTTCTGTCTCATTCTTTCCTTGATCCTATATATATATACATAAACATATTTGTTTCAATAATGGGCTGGACGCCTTTCAAAAGTTCTTGCATTCTATGTGTATTTACAGCTGTGATTTCAGTCAGGTTGATCGGATTTCCACTGGCGAAGAGGTCGCCCACACCTTTGCAAAGAATGCCTTGATAATGGCCATAGATCAATGGAACCACGCTGTGCAACAAGCGCGAGAGCAACTCAGCGAGCCGGGGGTGCTTTTGAGGGAGGTGGAACGCACCATGGAATCCAGTGCCGAGGAGAGGTCTGAGGAGGTATCGGAGCAGACTTTGACAAAGATCTATGAGCAACTTTGCAAGGATTTGCCATTCGTCAAAGTCAAGGCAACTGACGGTTCTCTCCTGAATCTCTGATTTGCATAGTGCAGGTGTTCTTTTCTTCTGGCATTTCCGCATATATATATATATATATATATCACTTACACTCAAGGATGAAAGGGTTTTTCTTGGTGTTTCCTGCCTGTGTTTGTAGCTGTGGAACTATTGGATTATGCTTCAGTGCATGGGCCCAGCATTGACATAAACCATGGAAACAACATACATACTGTACATGTATATATATATATATAGGCATACATACACTTAGAATGTGGCTCCGATTTCACCTGCAACCCTCTGCAGGAAGCATGCGCAAAGAATATGCCGGAAAAGTGGACTGTTGCCAACATCCAACAGTAAGCCTGGGCGGCATTTGCCATTTATGCATCCTCAAATGGTCAAGGTAAGAAGTTGGATCCAACATCAGATTGCCAGCGGCCGCTACCACGGCAGGCTCATTGCCAACTTCGACCAAGTTTGGAGCTTGCAGTTTCGCCCATTAGCTCGAACATTGCAGCAAAGAGCCAAGGTGGATGAACATGCCCGCAGTCAATCAATGCGCCGCATCAGGCACATCATTGAAAGAGTTCTGGACCGTCCATTCACAGAAAGCCTGGACGGTGACAGCATGGAAGATGCTTCACGTTGTGCTCGAGTACAAGGCGGCGAGGCAGCAATGGCAGGTGTGGAGGGTTGGCGGCTACCTCACACTGTCACAACGGTGAGCTGGGCTGACGGAAGCCTCAGCCGGGCCTTCATAACCTGCAGAGCAGACTGCCTCTCCGAATCCCAACGGTGCCAAGCCAACCAGGCACCGGGTGGAATACATTCTAACTGTACATCCTGCACATCGTGTCGGACTCAAGCACTGTTTTGCAAGGTTCATGGATCATTTGAAGGGTTCATGGATCTCTTGAATACATTGCCAGCCGGATGGAATTTGTATCTAGACGTTGAATATAAGTGTATACGCATGTTGTTTTTGGCGGGTTGATTGACTTTTGTTAGGCCTATGCCTCCTTCAAACAAGAACCTTCGGACACCCCCGATTCTGCGCAGGAACTGTCTCCATGGTTGGTCGTCGGTCCGCTCCAGCCGCGTTCACATATTTGGACAAGCGAGACTATGATGAGTTTTTTGGAGCACATGGCCGGGGAGTTGAGAGCTCGCAGGAGGCAGCTAAACCTGGATCGATCCCACAAAGCCCTCCTGATCTGCGACTTTGCATCTCAACACAGCTCCAAGAAGTACCGCCATCTCAAAGAACAGTGGATGCTGCAGCACAACGCAGAAACTTTTATACATTCAGCAATCATGTTTGTTCCCAGTTTGTTGCATTCTTTGTGGAGTTACGGTGTCAACATCAATGTGATGTGTATATATATATACAATTGTTTGGCATTTTGTACTGAACAAATTTGTGGACCACGTTGCTGCTGGCATACTTGGTGTGAGGACATCATCACAGGGGATAGTGAAGAAGTGCAAATTCCAGGAGGATGGGGAGCGGCAGGTGGACCCAATGATGGGTTCCACCAGTACTGGCATCAGCTTTGTGGAGCATACCACCGCTTGGCTGTATGTTGGGGATCTTCACCCGGTCTTCGCAAGCGAATGGACGAATTGCACTTGTCCACACAGGGATCGGTTGCAACCAGGTCTGGGTTGATCAAAAGTACATATATATATATATACATGTTACATGATACTGAACTGTACAAATGTTCTTTGTACACATAGTGAATATGTTTCGGAACATTTTTCTATTTTTCCTGAAGGGACAATTGAGCTGTGAACAAATGCCATGTGGTGTGCCTCTGTGACACACCGCGTCAAGGACTACGGCATTGACAGCATTGAAAGCTGACGCTTACGCATTGGAAGCTTTGCAAAACTTCCAGTGCCTGGATGTATGTTTGTCGTTTCTTTTGCATTCTATGTGTGTATTTGCATATATTTACTCACATAATACACATGTAGATGTACAAATGTATAATGTATTTTCTTTCTGCGGTTCTTTCCTGTCTGAAATGTATATATAAATATATATAATTTGTATATATATATATAACTTATGCAATTTTTGGTCATTGGGCCAAGCATTCCAACTCTGCATGTGTGCCTTCATTTCTGGGTCATATCTTTGGAATGGCATTCTAACTCTTTGTTGGGGGTCTTCTCTCCTGGCTCGTGCTGTTGAAAGGTCCGGCAAGCTGATATGGATAGCTTGGATGACACGAGGATTTGTCAATGAGCGTGACATTGCAGAATGGAGGTTTTCAGGCCTGTTTTCACACATTAGTCAAGCATTGAAATAGGATCGTGTTGTTTTTTTCAATAGATTTGAACAGTTTGAAGATGGAAATGCCAGGTTAGAATGCTTCTCTTCAATTGACCATTTGCTCTGATTCCCGTGACAGGAGATGAAGAAGCGGTGAAGCAGCTTCTGAAACATGCGAGGGACTCCATGAACTCCATTCTTGAACTTGCCGAGCTCCCTGAGATGAAGGGAGATCCAAATGAAATTGCCGACCTCCAGCGTTTGAGGAGCTTGC